GCCAACTTCTTCGCCAGAGACACGTGAGAAGGCCGAGGAATCTGATCAGCTATTTGAACGATCCGGCCTTAAGTGCCGTGCCATCGGAGGCAGGTCTACTCGTAAGAAACTCCCATGGCTCTCCTGGGGACTTGATCCCGGCGGAGTGTGTGCTCAGCTTTTTTTCCAAGCCATCCAGCTCTGTTTACTTTTTCCTGCTCTGTTGCTTTCGTTGTTTTATGATTGGGTTGGTTTATTTTCCGTTTATTTCCCTGAGTGAAACTATAAACGTAGAGAGGGATCTCATCCACAACCCGCTTCCTCTGGACAAAACAGGAGTCGGTGTGACGTTGTGGTGTGTTTTGTTTTTGTTTTGTTTTGTTTTAACCTCTAGTGAGGTTTTACTGGAACAACATTTTCTTACCACAAAGAGTCTCGCTAAATTGTATATAGAATTTTAGTATTTTATAATTTCAATCTTTTGCAAGCTGAACGTTTGCTATTCTTTCTCCTGTTAGTTTGTGTTGATTTGAAAGGGTTTGAAGACTTCAACAAATGACTTACCACAATTATTCTATGACACGTTATTCCTAATAAAAAATCCTCCTTTTCTAAAGCAAGCCGCCGAAAGATAGGATACAGGGCCGGCGCTCGGCCCCTTCCAATATCCTGAACAACAGATACGTAAAGGTTCCAGCAACGGTTGACGTGAATTTCCACAGCAAACCAAAGTTTTGAATCCAGATCTTTTGAGTCATAACCATAATCTTAGAACTACACAGCTGGAAGGGACCCCTAAAGATCATCCAGTCCAGCCTGTCAAGGAGGCCCAGTGGGGGATTCGAATTTCCAGCTTCTGGCTCTGCAGCCAGAGACTCTCAACGCCTGAGCCAGCCAGGTCTTAGTCTGCACTCTGACCATTACACCACACTGCTCTCCATGTAAGCTCAAACTCCCCACATGTCTCCGACCCTAAATCTCACACGCCACCCAAACCACAGAGTTTGTTCTGAGAGGACTCTTCCTTCATCTTATGTCCTTGTAGGATCCAGCAAAAAAAAAGAGGACGGTTTACAGTTTGCAAATAAACCAAACGAGAACCAGGTTTGAATACTCATTAATGTGCAATTAATTGCTGCAAATTAACGAAGTGCAAGTCACCAAGAAGGCATCTTGAACAGCTGCAAAATTACTAGCTTTAACTAGTGTAGACCAGTCAGTGTCCAGGATGAACTCTGGGCATAAACTATTTCTGCATGAAAGCCACTAGTGCCACAGACCACGTTTCCTTCTTCTGAGTCACTGTTTCCTTTCTACTTTATCTGAACATCTTTTTAAGGTGCAGAAATGCTCTTTTTTTCTCAGGCTTGGGGTTCGGAGGGAACTGGCTCCACCCAGGACACACTGCGCTCAGTCCAATCCAGTTTGCTCCAAAATGGGGGAAAGGGAGGGAGGGACCGGCTGCTGGCCTTGACCCGCTTACATAAGGGACCCAACCGCAGGGCAGAAAGCAGAGGTTGCCGTTAGGGCGAAGTTAAAAATAAATATCATCAGGATGGAGTTGGTGAAGGGGGGAAGCAAAACTTGCAGACAGAACTTTATGCGCACTCGAAAGCATTTTATAATGGCAAATATAGGCATACTTCATACAGTTCTTAGTACAGCATGACCCCCATCTCTGTGGGATCAGTATCCGCTGATTCGCTTATCTGCTGTCTGACAATATTAAAACTATTAAAAGAAAGAGCCTAGAAATATATATATTTCTAAAAATTGAACCTCTCCCACAACGATCGCTCAGTGTCCTCAAGTTGCTTCTGATTACAGGTGACTTTAAGGGGTTTTCAAGAGATGCAAGATATTTAGGGAGCAGTTTTATCAATCCCATCCCCAGTGCCATGGGCTCCCGTGGCCGAGCAGGATCCGAAACCAGTGCTCCTGAGGCCGGTCTGACACTTGACGGGTTCGTTACATCACATTGGCTCTCAACCACCCAATTAATCCACTTAAAACCACCACGGCTGTCATCCTATTCAGGGTTCTCACATGGAAAGGCTCCGAATCCCCCAGGAATACTGTCCCGTGGTTATGAGAACAGGAAGCCTTTGATACAATCATGGGGTCCTTATAGGGTTGTTCCTTCCCCGAGTCCTCCTCGGCCGCCTGACGGTGCCATGGAGGTGATTCAGGGCTCTCAAAAACCATGCAAAGCAGGTGAAGCAGCCAACGCACCGAACACGCAGCAATCAGGAGTGCCCACGATGGTGGGGAACACAAGCACTCTATCTGGTGGCCAACACCAACAATACAATCACAAACACTACAGTCGAAACCTGATGGCCCGTGGTCTCCCTCCCGTTGCCAGAGAAAAACAGAGAGCAAGCCGGAACACCTGACATATGATCACAAGGTGAGTGTCATGACGGCTGATGGATTTGAACCCGGCTCGCTCCAGTTCAGTCCGGCACCCTCACCCACACGCTATCATATATCGCTCTGTCCTGGTGCCTCCAAACGCATGAGACTGTTTCTCCATGTGGATCACAAAGGTGTAAATTTATTGAATGGCTGTTACCTGCATTGGTTTATGCTTTTATTACGCGAATTTACGTCAATCTGCCCATTGTGAGATTCTGCTTGAATTTCCTTTCGGGGGGGTGGGTGGAAACTGGATCGTGTCTTTTTTTAATAGCACAGGATTTAGGAGCAGAAGGCGAGGGGCAGTAAAACGTTTACACCCCCACCTCCCGCAGAACAAGGACTGTGACTGACTCGGCCGCAAAACTGAGGATGCAACTGCCTCGGCTTGATTCGGTTTAGGGTGAGCGTTCCTTCTGTGCTGTTTGCAGCTTTTGAACTGTCTTCAAGAGCAGCCCTACAAAGACCACAAAGCAGTAGTCCAGCCAAAGGTTTCCAGAGCAGGGATCACTGGGATAACCATACTCTATTCGGGTATCTTTGTTCAAAAAAGACTGTATGCCCTCAATCCAGTGAGATTCAATCCACACTTCGAGTCCCCCTTCCTTTGTTACTCTGCCTTCCTGGCCCATCTCAGGCTTCCCCTTCAGGGTTTGCCCTCATGCTGCCCAGACAGCTTTAAAGGGTTGTGTGGCTGTTAAAAGTGGGGAGGGGAGGACAATCTTCCCCAAAATAAATATAAACACATACCATGGAAACGCTGTAACCTGCTGGGGTTTGTCAGAGTTGTTTCGGTTTTATATTGATTTTTATCTTTCTCTTTTTAGCTGTGCAGAGACAATCTAGCGATAAACAGATGCAGCAATAAATAAATCATGCACTGGACTCAATGGTTTGTTTGTTTTTTAAAAGAAAATAAACAAGATCACGGGGTGGGGGGCGTATTTCCACAGTCCCAAAACACCATGTCTCAACTTACAACCGTCACCAGAAAACTATTCAAAGTCACTTCTCCTCCGTCCTTTTGTAGAAAAAAAACATGCACAATCGCCCGGGGAAAACACCGTTTGAATCGCACCAGTTACGTAGTGAAAATATACAGTACTTCGACTTCAACCATGCCAGTTCTGGAGCAATGTGTGACGCCTTTTCCAACGTGTTTCCCACTTTTTCATCACAGATGCTGGACATGGAAGACTATTCCTTAAACACCCAGCAAAGATCCTCCACCCTAGTGCCCCATTAACACACTTCAGGGTGGTAAACAAAGCCCAAGTGTTATTGGTAGACTCAGCTCAGGCGGTGCCTCCCGGAGCCAAACCATCAACCGAAGAGTTTTAATGAGGCCGTATAATTTCAGAAAGAATGCTAAGCTTGCCACGTGCGCCCCAGTCCACGGGAGAAATCTTTTATACCAAGAAAGCGGAGAGATGGAGAAATCCCTGCAGGGTTAAACCCTTATTCTTCGGGGAAAGGGACTGGTGAAAACAACGTGGCTGAATACACAAAGCACCCAGTCACAAGGTTGGTGACCGTAAGACCAACCACCCGCATGAATCCTCTGCTCCAATTTTCTGTTCAGTTCCTTCTATGGGCAAAACTCTGGCTTCGTTTCCAAGAATCTCCCAGCCAGAAAAACCTCTGTTTGAACAGTGACCGAGACCAGGGGTCAGGCCTGCAAAGTTCTGGGAACAAGAGAGCCGTCCTTTTTGGTATGTGTTGGTGTGTTTCTAGTGCCCACCACTGGTGCAAAGCGGGATTTTTTTTTGACTGCTCACCGCACAGAACCTGTCCTACAGGACATATGGGGAAAAACGTTAAGGGTCGCCATCGAAACAAACCTGAACCTCAAGCCCTCCTCTGCTTGCTGGCTACATGGGGGACACCTTTACATACCAGATTTTAAAACCTTTCCGTGTCAGTCGATTGCACTAAGAACAATAAAAACCCTTCTCAAGCACCAACAAACATTATTCGGCAGGAGCGTCCACGGACCGGAGCCTGAGCCCTCCAGCACACTCTGTATCTCTCTCTCGCTCTCTCTCTGTGTATGTGTATAAATATTTACATTTGTTGGGAAACATTTATACACATGCTCCAGGCGTGGGCAGGAGATGGCCGGGAATGTGAGGGAAGGAGGAGGCATGGTGGCCTTGGATAAACCGCCCGAAACACCACTTTTTGATCCATGGAAGCTCCCACTTCAATAAATTAGAAAGAATTAAGAAAAGGCCCTGTGGTCCTGAGGATTTCACACATGCAAGAGAGTAGAGAGATTCCTTGAGGGAACCTCTAGAAAAATCAGATTGCAAACCTTTCGCCAAGAAAATCCCAAGGGTGACACCCTTTTATAGACAGTGTAGGAAAACTGTGGACAGACATTTGTCTTGATCATACCTCAAATTCTGCACACCCTCTTTTTTTCATGCTCCCTTTAATTTTTTTTTTTTAGCAACAAACCAAACTTCTCTGTCTTGAAGGTTTGCCGCAAGGCCTTTTCTTACTTCGAGAACAAGAATAACGTTTAAGCCCAAATTTGGTGCCACAAAATTTTGCTTCTCCAGATTGGGTTTGCCAGGCCCCGTCTCGGCAGGTTCCCTTACCCCCCGAGTTCCGGTCCCGTTTCACGAAACGCCATCCTTCTTTGGATGCTGTTCTCGCTCCGAAGGGCTACCCGGCCCAGATCCGTTCTAGAGATCAAGGACCAGCTAGAGGGAAGAGGAGGGACCTCATTGTCCGTTGTCTGTGGCCGGCAGCACCTGAGCAGCAGGGAGAAGGAAGGGCTTGAATAAGAATCATCCTCTCATCCTTTGAGAACTGCAGGGCTGGAAGGGATCCTACCAAGCATCCAGTCCAGCCTCTGTTCTTAGCTCCAGAGAAACGCGTCCAGAGGTGGCTTAAAAAACCCCATCACAACCCATTCTAAATGTTGGCTTCTCTGCCTTTAAAGCAGAAGATGCTGTTTTAAAATGACCGAGATGGGCTTCTCGACAGAACCTGGAACAGACTAGAAAACACACACCATAGGGTGTTTTTAAAAATTATTTTCCTCTGTGCTAAATTAGGGTTCCCTTCAAGCAACCCTCGAGAAAGGGATTTTTTTTTAAAACGGCTTTTTAGTGCTTTCTCTTCACCCATCTGGGCTGCACCCTCGAAGGGTATCCATCAGATGCCTTTTCTAACCACTTTCCCATAAGACGGGCCTTATTTGTGAAGATTTTTCAGTCAGCCAGGGGAGGTTATCTGGCCACCAAGCCTTTTATTTCCTTTTAGGCAAATTTACCCTCAAAAGAAAGAGATCCCGTGGCCAGGATTCAACCTCCAGGAACTACCTTATTTATTTATTTAAGTTCTCTCTGCTGCTCTCCTCCTCATAGGGAGACCCAAGGAGGCTCTCACAAGAGGGAAAATAAGAAATTTTAAAAATCATATATAAATATCACCATTTAAAAAATAAATTAAACGTGTATTAAAAACATACTGCCACTGGAAGCAAAGTGGGATATAAATACGTAAAATGGAAATTTAAAATTTAAAAAATACAAATATTTAGAAAGCTTTATATAATTGGGCATATACAGTATACCTTTTCTTCATAATTGTGAGAGAAACTAACTAACTGTATACAGTACAGTATATGTACACCAAGGCAGACACACAAAAGGCCACGGCACGAGTTTTGTCCCTCAGGGCGCGCGAGAGCCTCCCGCCTTGCGCCGCGCGCGCTGCTTCCTGGGATTCGGAGTTCCCAGAGCCTTTCGCCCCGCCCCCGCCAGTCCCTAGGGCGGCGCCGATTGGACGGAAGCCGCAAACCTGGAAGTGTTGCTATGGCGGCGGCGGCGGCGGCAGGGAGTCCCCTGAGCGGCCCGGT